TTGAAGCTTAAACGGCCGTGAGGTATTGTTAGTGACTGGCAGCAAAGTGATCCCTGATCCGCCTGATTGCGCTAATTGCTCCGAAACTGGACACATTATGTATCATTATGCAGAGGGCGGACCGGCCGCTGACTTTCATCTCCTTTTCTCTTTCTTTGAAAGTCGTAGTGTCCCTTACCGCTTTACACATAAAAAAAATCAAAAATCAAATACAAGGTGAAATCACGGCGGAGTGGAAGCCCTCTAGGTATTTACTCTCCCACCAATGCAAACATTTTTACCCCGGCCCTGAAATCACGCGGCGGCGGCTCCGAGTCCTCTCACTGATCTACACTGACAGGCTTTGCATGAAAAGAAGGTTAGGACAACTTTAAGAGGAGGCAACAATGGGCCTTTGTGCCGAGTCCCTGCCTCCTGACTGCTGCGAATCAAAGGGAGTTTATAAAGTCAAATAAAGGCCCGATGAGCCCGTAATACAGTTGTTTTGTATCACTGCTCCGGACTCATTTGTTTGCCTGGGGGTTTAAATAAAACGCTTTGCAAATTGTTCCTCTCCGCGGTGTATCGGTCTGCCTTACAGAGGAAGAGGGACAGCGTTTGAGATGCTAATTGACAACAGCATTGTTTCTACGGGATCACGCTTCCCTTCTCTGCTCATGAGGTAAACATGGTTCTGAAAGGAAACACAAACATGGTGGAGATCATTATCGAATATTAAAAAAATATATTAAAAAAACGCCCTCATGCTCACACGTATAAAACACAGGTGTCATATTCTCTATACTGTGATTTATTTATGTCTGGGAAGAATGTGACAAATGACTATAAATGTGATAAATATTTAGAAAAAGGATTTTAGATTTAACTTTGTTGATCCAACAAATTGTTTCAACTGTTATGAAGGTCTCACACAGAATTACAACGATTGCTCTGATAGAGCTCGAATAAAGAACCTAAATTGTGTGGTTAAGCTCATCGGTGATAACATTGATTATTTTACTATTGCACAAGTACACTAATGGCTCAGTAAATTGCCTAATTACAACATTGTGTGTTTATTGGACAAATCAAACCAAAATAATGTAAATTAATTTAATTAAAAGTCCCTAGGGT